GCCTAGAAAAAGCAGGGGACAGTACAACGTGACTTCCCTGACGTGGCACTCTTACCTGAAAGTCCACTGTGCTATCTCTCATTGGGCCCTACCCTATTCATGCCAAAAGAACCTAGAACGAACATAGGTTTCTTTTCGTAAAAATTATACTAGGCAGAGTGTTATTATATCTGCTCTGCTATGATCAATGCAGTGATCAGAACTGTGTTGACGAAAGTTTCAGCTCTGCTTTTTGCTCCAGTCATTTGCCCATGACTGTTCAGTTCCAGGAGTCATGCTCTACCAGACCCCCTCTCTCTCATTCCAAGCAGACCCATGGTCCTAAACTGTGCCCATTTTCAGCAGATTTGGCACAGCACCATATGTGTTAGAATGTGAGAATGTATTAGAACTGCATTTTTTTTTTTTTGCACAGCCTTAACTATTTCAAAAACTGCGCCTGGATCTCAGGACTAGGTCTTGTAATTTTTCCAGCTGTGTGCAGTGCTCTTAAAGTCTGAGAATTGCTGATGCGGTTACAGATGAAGAAATGCTCAGACAAGTTCAATGAGCATACGTAGGGAGGACATCTGGGTCGTGATTAAGAACCAGTTTAGGTAAAAGGAAGGAAGGGGGCAACACTCCAAAGAGGGCACAGAGTGAAAAGAGTGTTGGACAGAAACTCCCATGTCTAGAGGATGGATGTTCATAGGTCCTTTAGGGATGATAGCTTATAGAAGCAGATAGTTGCAAGTTGAAAGGCATGAAGGGCCGGGCTAGACTTTCCACTACACTCTGTAGGCAATGGAGAGTTGGTGGTGGGCAACAGGAAACGATACTGAGTAACAAGACATTTCCTCCGCGAAGTCATCGCGGCTTGGACTTTCTCTGATATTAGAAATCTTTCTTTCCTCGTTCTTTTTCCTCCTGTTGTCCTTCCTTGCTTCCTTCTTCTCTCCTTCCTTCCCCAGTCTCTTCCTCCCTGCCTCCTAGCTCCCCAGCCTGTCTGTTATCCTCCTTTCTTCCTTCTAGAGGTGCTCTTTGTGTCTCTGAAGACAATTACAAATTGACTGCGGTTGTCAGGTTGTGGATTTGCTCTCCTGTGCTGGCTACACGCACCATAAAACTGAACTATTTTTGTTCCCCCGACCACATATTATAGTTGAGTGACTTGCACAGAACAGTATCAAAGATATTTATGAATCGAAAATGTCAGTGATCACCGTGAACCTCTGTTCTCCTTATGGGTATGGATTTCCAAATTTACCTTACTGTTACATGTTAGCTTTGGAGACCATGCTTTAGAAGATGAAAGCTCTTCAGGTAGGACAGCATTTGGAAAGTGGTATTGGCAGCTGGTGTTCCGTGCAGCCATTCTTCCCTATGCCAATAATTGGGTCTGTGTAGGTTTATGATATTTGGTTCTAGTGTCCCCTTGTCCAAGGAGTCACTGCTAACCGCAAGCAGCTGGCTTCAGCTGACGTCTGTGTGAACTGCGGGCCAAATTCCAATGACTTTGTGTGGAAAAAAAGACTGAAATATCTCAACACAATGTTTATTTTGCTGACATGGTAAAGTGACAATATTTAGGATGAATACAAATATTTTTATAATATTTCTTGTTTGCTTTAGTGCAGTTATTAGAAATTTTTAACTACTTTTGTGACTCATACATACACTCAATTGGCTCGTTCTTGTACAGAGATTATTTAACCGTCGGCAGTGACACAAATCAAATCTGATAATTTGGGACATATATGCAGTGTGTGTGTGTGTGTATGTGTGTGTGTGTGGTAGTGTGTGTGTGGTAGTGTGTGTGGAGTATGTGGTGTGTGTGGAGTATGTGTGTGGTTTGCGTGATGTGCGTGTGTGTGTGTGTGTGTGTGTGTGTGTCTGGTGTGCATGTGGTGTGTGTGTTGTATGTGTGCTGTGTGTGTGTGGAATATGTGTGTGGTGTGTGTGTGTGTGTGTGGTGTGTAGTGTATGTGTTGAGTATGTGTGTGTGGTGTATGTGTATGTGTGTCCAGTATGTGTGTGTGGTGTGTGTGTGTGGAGTATGTGTGTGTGTGTGGTGTGTGTTTTTAAGTAAAAATGTGAAAGTTTACCTGAAAGAATAGACCTACTTACTACCTATTCATCTTTTTATAGTTATTTGGTTTGTAATATTGAGTTTTTGATATTCCTTGTATATTGAGGAAATTAATTGTCAGACTTATTTTACAGATGGTCTCTGTTCTGAGGCATGTGTCTGTGCATACTGTTTGTTTCCTTAGCTAGGGAGAAGCTTGTAAGTTCAACATAATTCCATTTGTCAATTGTGGCTTTCACTGTCTGTTAACTTCACAGACAACACAGTCAAAGTCCTTCCCCAGGCCACTGTTGAGCTTTCCTCCATATTTAAGTAACTGTGTGTAAGCAATTGCTGAAACATTATAGAAAGTTTGGACGGTTGCTTTTTAATAATATATATAAAATATGAATTGAACTTATTTTAATAAGTTTTAAACATATATAATGATACACATAATTATATGTTTTAAAACTATTTAATAGCTATTCTGGAAAGGATATACTTTATTAGAATATTAGCTAGTAATTTTACATAATGCATATATGAAGTGCAATAGAATTTCAATATCAATTGATTTAGCAATAAGAATCCACAAGCAAATATAGCGACTGTTTTAATTTATTGTTTTGCTTTAGCTAGCTTAGTATACAGTTTTGTCCTGAAAGGTTTTAGAACTGGAAATCTAGCCAGTCTTTAATTGCTTTTATTTTTAAAATCTGAATTATTTCTTCTAAATCATGGTGTAAGTAATTTAACTAAAGTTCCTATTAATTTTTTGTGTTCTTGTTAAATAGGAATTTTCTGTCATGATACCCTCAAAATTCAGTAAGACCCTGTAAAAAGAGGTCTCAGAAATTTGAAAATTGAGCTAGTTATTTGAAGAATATATATTTGGACTTATCATGAGTGGAGGAGAAAAAGATAAGTAGATTAAGTTGTGAAGTAGAATAAAATATTTAATATATAACAGAATAAAATATAATTGTGGGAAAAGGATGATAAAATTAAAAACAAACTGCAATAAGTTTTTCATACCAATAATAGGCACAAAGAAATAAATAAGACAGTCCTATTTATGAAATAGTTACAGCTAACCAATTTAAAAAGTATCTGTATCATAACTCCTAGTATTTTTTTAAACCTGCAGGTAAAAATGGTTTTATTCCCTTTTTAGTAATGCCAGTTACATGTCTCCAGGACACGTGTGAGAATGCACAGCTTCTCAGATTCTGATTGCACAGTAATACTCCATTACCTGAGCCGTAGGGCCAACCCATTGGTTTTCTTGAAGTAGTTGCTTTAATACAACAGTTAGCAAAACTAGCTTCAAAATGCATGTATGACTCAGTTAAAAGGAGTGTAGGGGATCTCTAAATTCAAATCACGGTAACCTGATCATTTTCACAATATCCGGTATGGATATGCCAACTATGTCCCGTAATTGAAAAGTTCATCTCCATAGCAGAACCCCAAGAGACTGTAAACAACACATGAGCTTATTTTCCTCCTCAATCTGGTTCACTTACAAACGAGTCAAGGATATTTGATCGAGAAAGCACCCGTTGTCTTCTTTTTCCTTTTTTATTATTACTTTATAAATAATACCAATCAAAATTTCCACTTTCTTCCTTCCTCCCATCTTCCTTTCTACTCCCCCACACACCCTCCCCTCCTCCACCACTCCCTCCCCCCAGTCCTGAGAGAGGGCAAGGTACCCTGCCCTGTGGGAAGTCCAAGGCCCTTCCCCCTACATCCAGGCTTAGGGAGGTGTGTATCCAAATAGAATAAAATTCCAAAAAGACAGTCCATGCAGTAGAGACAAATCCCAGTGCCATTATCATTGGCTTCTCAGTCTAGGCATTTGCAAGGAAACTTTTTCGCTGTTTAATTTTCCTGTTTTATTAATTTAAAATTAAATAGATACTAAATAAATATGATTATTTAGTTATTAATTAACCCTTTGAAGCCCCAACACAGTGTGATATTAAAGCATAAATTCAAAGTGAGCTGAACTACTGAAAGATATGGATTTGATCCCTCTAACCCCTGGACCTCACCAGTGGTCCCATTAATTTTATTCTTTGGTTACAATATTTGAAATAGAGTTACCTTTTTTCTATGCTCATTTTGGGATAAAATTATATTTAAAATGTAACGAAACAAGTAGATAAGGATACTGTAGCAGACACTTCAGCTTCCCATTCAATTTCTAAAACAGAGCCAGTTTCCCAATGAATAGGCTTTGATGTGTAAGGTGGCTCCCACGCTACGCTGCTGCCAGGCTGCTACCGTTCTACCTTAGACTGGAGCCAGAGATATCATCTCTGCTTGTGTATGAAAATATAAAGGAAATGGAACAATCATTTATTCAGTAGCACGAATTAGTTTACAAGATCACTTTCTTTAATTTTATATTTTATTTATTGATTATGAGACAGAATTTCCTTGTGTAACATGGGCTAGACTGGAACTCACTTTCTAAACCAGGCTAGCCTTGAATTCACAGTAGTCCACCAACCTATGCCTCCTGAGTGCTGGGATTAGAAGTGTATACCACCACATCTTACCCCTATGCTACTTTCCGAACTACTTTGAAAGCTCCATTTGCCTAAGGAGTTATGAGGGGAATGAAAACTTTTCCAAAAAGATAAATTTTGATTCAAGATTAAATTTCCTGTCTATAGGAAAGTGTTTTCGGGTGCTTCACTGTTCAGTGAGCCAGAGGAGGAACGTGGATGGCTTTCTTTTTTTATTGATTTATTTATTTTATTATTATTATTATTTATTAAAAATTTCCACCTCTTCCCCGCCTCCCTTTTCCCTCCCCCTCCCCACCTTCCCCTCCCCACCTACCCCTCCCTCTCCAGTCTTAAGAGCAGTCAGGGTTCCCTGCCCCGTGGGAAGTCCAAGGTCCTCCCCCATCCATACAGGTCTTTAAAGGTGTGCATCCAAACAAACCAGGCTCCCACAAAGTTAGTCCATGCAATAGAATTAAATCCCAATGCCATTGTCCTTGGTTTCTTAGTCAGCCTTCATTGCCAGCCATGTTCAGAGTGTCCATTTTGATCACATGCTCCATCACTCCCAGTCCAGCTGGCCTTGGTGAGCTCCCATTAGATCAGTCCCACTGTCTCAGTGGGAGGATGCGGATGGCTGGCAGCTTCTGTGCCCCTAGGCAGTCTTGTGGAAACACGGCTTCATTACTAAGTAGCTCTTTAAAACCTCGAAATACTTAAGCAAAATGCTTTAAACAAAAAGTATTCATTTTTGTAAGGAATTGAAAAACTGCTGATATAAAACCATGGCTTCGATACACGTTTTTCAAAATGAAAATCAGGTTTATGCATTCTTAAACAAGCATGAGAATTTTAAGTAGATGCTATAATTCCGAAACAACCAAATGGATAAAACACATTTTGTAGTCAGTGTGCTAAAACCAATTGAAGTTAATTTCAAAAAAAAAAACAGTTAAAATGAAAGCACATAGGAATTATTTATTAATATAATATGTGGTCTTTATATTTCAGTCTACTGATGCCACAAAGGTTGCCTCTCATCCAATCACAGGAGAAATTCAGGTATGAAAAACTTTTAATATCCTCGTTCTATCATCTTTTCTGTTTTTACTGTTTGTCTCGTTGAATTTCTAACAGTCTGTTTGGGTCTTATGCTTTTTATAAAATATACAATATTGCACATGTTATATATATTATGCATATGTGATATGTATATACATATGTAATGCTACTGCATAACATACGTGTTTGTGTGTGTGTGTGTAGAAACTAGTCATGGTTTTGAAATTCCAGATTGTAAAATCCTCAGTCAGTAGCTACTGAGTTCCAGCATTTCACAAACAACTTCTCCTTCCAAAAAACCTGCAGGCCCATCTTCAAACTCCATGAATCAAGTGATAACTTTTGCTAAATTATTGTTTTCTAACTAATTGATAAACAGCTATCATAGGGAAGCATTTTTCATTTTGTAGTTCCCAATAACTTTGCAATTCATAAGGTAAGTACCATAAAAAGTACAAAATATTGTTACTTTAGTCCTGCATAGAGTTCTGTATTTGTATGATATTATCACAGTTTATATATTACTGTGAGTCGCAGTAAAATGTTTTTAAAGCTTGGGTTTTGATATTTTTGGAAATATCAAAAATTAATTCTAGGTAGATGAGAAATGTCACATAGAAATTAACACAGTACGAATTAGCTATCAGAGGACAGCAAGGTCCCAGTAAGGAAAAGCAGGTGTGTCTCCAACGCAGTGTGAAAGAAATTCTGACAAAGGACTTCACAGAGTAGCAGAGATATAAACTAATGTTTCGAGAAGCATAGAGAAGGAGAAAATGTGTTACTGGAAACAGCATCACACAGAAAGCTGTTGCATTCAGAGTCGAGCAATGATGGAATCAGCTCCGAGACGCTGACACGCCCAGAAAGAACCTCGGGTGCAAGCCGAGGTGAATTATCCCTCACCTAACATAGGCCAGCGTTCCATGGTTTCGAGTAGGCGGCAGAGTGAAGAGTGAAGTGTAATAAAAGCCGGGTATCAGCAGCCTACAGAAAGTATTGCAAGGGCAAGGGTACAAAGACTGGGAAGTGAGCGCGCACACCGGAGAAAGCTAAAGGGAAGCGGTGAAAACGCAGAGGGGCGTCCCAGGGTGCCTCACGGACAGAGCGGGTGGAACTGGGCCTGGCTCGCTGTCGCTGAGCATTCCTGATCTTGCTCTCCCTGTGTTCTGCCAATGTTTTCACCAATCCTGCCTTCCGTCATTCCACAGGCAACACAGGAATGTTCCAACTTTTGATTACTAGTATTCGCCTATAGTTTTAACTTCATGCCTTTTGGCTGATGTTTGCTGTTTCTGTTGGGTTTGCTCTTTCCTTGTTTCTTCTCCTTCATCCAATCCTTCAGCAATAAGACAAAATTCTGAAATTGAGCCTTACCTGGCACAATGCCTCTTAGCAGTTTGCAGTGGTTCTGGGCCTTCCTAATAATGCCACACTTCCATGCAGCTCCTCATGCTGTGGTGACCCCAACCATAAAATTGTTTTTGTTGCTACTTCATAACTGTAAGTTTGCTACTGCAATGAATACTAGCATTTTTTTTTCTTTTGGAGATAGAGATTTGCCAAAAGGGAAATTGAGCGGTTGAGAAGGTTGAGAACCAATGAGTTACAATATCCTGCAGGCTGGTATTTCATTTATTTCCCCCGTGTGGCAAAGCCTTATTCCCGTGGCACACATAGAGCCATAATAATAAAGGTGCTGGCCTGGAGCCCCTGTGCTCCAGGATGACCCATGTGCATACTGGTCTGACCCCGAACCTCCTTGCGGGTTTTTGGGAATGAATAGGGAAGGTTTTGATAACCAGTCTCTCAAGGTGGCCTGACGATTTTCATGTCAGGGAGAAATAGACTAAGAGCAATGTCACTTGAAACTTGAGCTCCAGAGCAAGCTAAATGTGGATTGTTTCCCTTTATGCTTCTGTGTCCCGGCAGCACACAGTTTCAATCCTTGTCTTCGCTTTTCCCTAAGGGCGCATTGCTTTGTTATTCACACAGTGGTCACGGGTGTCTGAGATACCTGGGCTTTTCTCTGTGGAATCATGAAAAACATCCCCGGATTAAAATTGTGCCAAAATGATGATGTATATTAATTCTGAAATCTTAAGCAAAAGTTTGACCCATTTTAGTTGCCCCATCACAGTGAAAACACTGTTTTTTATTATTTTAAAAAGTTAGTATTTTTACACATAAGTTCCCTCTTTGAAATAATATTCTTTTCATTCCTATTACTTAGAAAACTTAAAGTAAATTAAGACTTAATCTAAATATGACACAAGCATCCTACAATGGTCAAAGAGAAAACTCAATCGGTTCTCATTATGACAGTTTCTCAAATATTTATCTCAGTAGTAAATCTTGTTCTTTGGTGGCAATGTAGATAGGATTCATTATTCCTCTCCAACTTTTCAAGCCCAAGTGTAAGTCCCCAGATTTTTACTTTACAAGTGGTTCAGAAAGAGAAACTAGAGACTTAATCTTGGAGAGATTAGGAAAAAAATGAAATCTATTCTTTTTAATTTGTATGTATGATACTGATAGAATCCTCTCCACATAGCCTTTCTTCTCACTGTTCAGTTATGAAGTGTAAAAGCTATTCTGTAATACATTTGCAAGTTATTTAATTTTCAAAGTCCTAATAATTGCAATAATGAATGTAAGTGGGGTGTATTCTTTTGATATGAATAAATTTTCATTATGAAAATATAATAAATATTTACTGTATTAGTTTCCTGTTAAATGAACTCTAACTAGGCCAGGATTCTAAGTTGTGCAGAGTCCAGTAGCAATATGTTTATTAGAAATCCAGACATGCCTGTGAGCGTCCAGTTAAACTGGACATTAACTGTTTAGTTTCCAATAGAATTGAGATGAAGTGAGTAACTTCTTGTAACGCATTGGAAGAGCCAGTGAAGTATGAAGTGATGCTGTTTCACATGTTTGTTTGTTTTTTCACGGAATCCTTTCTACACCCTAAAGCTTCAAATCAACTATGACCTTGGAAACCTTATCATACATATTCTTCAAGCAAGAAATCTTGTCCCTAGAGACAACAATGGCTACTCTGACCCTTTTGTTAAGGTGTACCTACTTCCGGGGCGAGGGTAAGTAACGAGGCATCGTCATCCTGGTATCGCCGGTAGTAAATAGTTCACAGAGCATCTCCCGTTCATTTCCAGGCCTAACCTGGATAGTCCTTTGTACCCTGGCTTTAGTTTGCTTTGGCCTTCGTATTTATTTCTAATAAGTAGATCCAGTTGAATTAAAATTTTAAATGACGCTCTTAAGTGTTCTGAGAGAGCCGTGGTCATAATAACGCCAGTCTCTCTGGGAGCGAGCAGCGCTTTGATTGTGGGAGCCGCGCTTGTGCTATGTGCTCAGATTTATTCTAAAAGCATTTGAGAAATTGTGGCAGGTTTAAAGAACTAACTTACATCCCTAAATGAAAAACTTTGTTTACTTTCTTTTTACACAGTATATATATTTTTATCTGATATACCTGATATCCACTGAGTGACTTTTCATGAATCCCTATTTATAGACACATTTCCAAATCAATGTTTTAAAAATCATAACAAATAACAACGTTTGAAGTAATGATTTTGCTATATAAATAAAAGACGTCTCATTGAATCTTTTGTGGGATATGTACATTGTTGATATAAATTAAGTGGACTTGGGGTCTAACTCCATGACAGAGTCTGTATCTAGCAAACTAGAATACTTCAGTCCCCAGCACCAAACGAAAATGCTAAGTAAAAGACATGTGTCCTTGGGAGATGCATAATAATTAATCACATAATTGATGGTAGTAATGATGCCTGAACGAGATTTTGAGGAAAGTATGGAACCGAGATTCGCCCTCCCCAGATCACTGTACCTTATGTAGTTCTTTGTGCTTGCCAAGTTAATGTGGTGGTATCAGCAGTCCGAAGTGGAGGCGCGTACCGAAAACTTCCTCAGCTGACGGCAACACTGGTTTCAATTCTCTGAAACCTGAAGGGGACATTTGAGTATTAATTCTTTCTTGGGAATTTTTAAGGATAACACAGAAGCAGAGAGTCATTTAGGGGCTGACCATCCTTTATCTTCAAAAACTTTTACTTACTAGCCCATTAGATTCCACATTTACTTGCACACACTTCCTACATCCAGATCACTTTCAAAGAAATCCCAGCAATTAACTTTTTGCAAATATTTCAGTATATATCTGAAAATGATAATTCATTTAAAATTCACAAATAATTCATTAGTTTCTTTGATATATTTTACAATATTTTAGTTGGTTTGAGGACCCCACTGGTGTTTATAGGACACGCTACCCATCAGCAACGAATGCTTTTAGGTACATCGCGAACGTTTCACAGGACTGCATGGTGCTGCCAAGCCTCGACAGACTTAGAAGCAGCCAAAACATGCAAATGTGTGTTCTGACCGTGACTGGTGTGTCTGAAAAGGAGCCACATTAGAGTCATGTATGTGCTGCTCCCTTCTTACTAAGTCACCACACGCAGACCCCCGTGGATAAGAAAGTCTGTTTCCTTTTCAAGGAGAACACAATCATAACTTTTATTTGCCAATGGAAAGAAGTCAGACAGTGCAGAGAGGACAAACCACCGTGTCCCTGCTCTACTCCCACACCTCTGCCCAAACAGTTCCTTTTAGAACGATAACATTGTTGGTGTGCTTGATCTAATTTTCTTTTCCTAAGGATTTTTGAAAATCTCAGTCATTTTTATTAGAAATCAAGAAAATAGTCACAAGAAGAGAATCTTTTATTATAATTAACTAGCAAGTTTGCATATTTGTATTTACAAATTGGCCACATCTTTTAAGAGGGGCGTGACAAAAATAACAAACAATAAAAACTTTATTTTGATTTTGAACATGAGGACTTTTGTGTTCTTTAAACACAGAAGTTTTAACTTTTGTGTTAAGACATTAGGAAGTTATAGAAAATTACTCTTAGGAATTTGTCTCTAAGTATTTTTAAGTGGGTTAAGGTAAAAGGTACTGTCCTTTATTTTCCTTATCAGTGGCCCTCAGAGTCGTTGTCTGTACTGCACAAGAACACTTACATCTACGCATGCTGGTCCTCTGGTAGAAGGTTGAAAAGTTGAATAAGCAGAACAGGTAGACAGGTAACACGAAGGTTTCAGCCCATTCCATAATATTTAGCTGAGATGGATTAAAAAAAGGAAGAGTGAAATGGACCAAAAAAAATGTGTGTATAATAGTATTACCCTCTTGAGTTTATCCAACTAGCCATCCCACAGTGGACTCCGCTCCGAGGTGGCTAACATGTTCCCAGCCTGTATCACAGAATCACTAATCGCTGGGTTGCTGAGTAATGGGGACTCACTGTACATGTGAGCGCTGTGTCACTATGGCGCTAAGATTATCTTCCGCCTCAAAGCCGGTTTCAGGCTGTGCAGCGTCTGATTGCTGTTCTCGTATTTCCTGTCTATTTCTGCTCCTAACTTTTTTCTCCCTGTCTTTCACTCCTTCCTGTTGTGCCCTTTCCTCTGGCTTCTGGAATCAATGCAGTCAAGTCATGGTTGTCCAGAACGCAAGGTAGAGTTGGTTCTCTTCAGCGTCAACTGTGCTGTCTTGCCTAGAGTTGTAACCGTGTGTTTACGTACCTCTGCCAATGTGTCTGCTTATGCCGTAGCAAATAGTTTTCTGCCAGTGAACAGCTGTTGAATTAGGCCTCCAACAAACAGGAGTTCTAACCAGTGCGCAACAGTACATAGAAAATTAGACTTTAATGAAAACAGAAATGAAGGATAAAGAAATTTTACACTAAAATTGAATATAACTACAATTTCCACTTGTATTCTCTGTAATAAATTTCATTTAGCTGCTTATGTGCTAATCACGACTTAAGTTCTCCTGATTTCCTATTGCAAATGAAAATATTGCAAGTGTTTTTTAAAGTGAATTTATGGACCAGACCAATGTGTGTATCTCATTTTAAATATAATAAGTGTCAAATTCGTTTTCCCTCATCTGATATTAAAATGTTTCCATGATTTATGTTTTCTGTATCACAAAATCATTAGAAGTCAAAAAAATCATCATACTATAATGATGAGGAACCACATGAACACACTTCTTTGGCTTTAGTAGTAGGGATTTTCTCTGATTTGTTACAGGCTGCATCTTACCAACCAAGACTCCCTCTCAAGACATAACCCAAAGGATGTTTTTTTGCACCTCGCCCACTGCATTATAAATTAAGTGTGTGATTTAATTAAAGAGACTCATGTACCATCTGTACTAATAGGATGATGAGGATTTTAGCCTCAGTCATATTATTAATTTTGCAACATTTTGTTTGTCTGTGTTATTAAAATATGACATTTTCATTAATCGTGGAAAGCTGTGACCCAAGAGAGGTTGTTTCTGAGTTTTAAAGATGTAAATATTTATCTCCAATGCTAGGATCTATTATCGTAGCCTTAGCAGTACCCAGAAATTTCATTCCTTAAAGCCACATCATTAGCAATAAGTGAACAGAGACACTGTGCTGGCTCTCTTGTGGTGGCTAGTTCTCCGGCTGTGGATACAATCTGAGGTTCTTTGGCTGATGTGTAGAATCGGTCCTGTTTCAAAGATATGCTGTCAGTTTAGATCTCACATTACCAGCCCCCACATTTGCAAACTCCCTGAATTTTATCTAAGGAAACTCAGGAACATTGTCAGGGTGGTGATTTCCTGCATTTAATGTATAGGAGAGCGTGTTGGGGGAGCCCTTTGTAACAACTGGATGAGCCTGGAATACTTTGACTAGCGTCTGGAAGTTAGGACCAAGCTCTCATCCTTATTTCATTTTCACCATGCCTTTGGGAACTATCAGCGTGAGAGGAAAATGCCAAGGCATGGAAGCCATTGAATGGAGACCTTAAGAATCTGGGTTTGAATTTCAGCGTTGCCACTTAGAAACCATGAGATGTCACACGAGAAGCCACAGTTGTGCTTTCTTCTGTAACTAGAAATAATAACTTCCTTCATGGGTGTGTGTGTGTGTGTGTGTGTGTGTGTGTGTGTGTG